ATAACTTAATATGAAAAATTAAACTTCAAGATTTACAACTTTGATGAATACTGATGTATTTGAAGATTTAATTGGGATAGGGCTGTTAGACAGCTTAATTTTATATCTATTTTCCAATCGTGCAGTGGTACAGGTTATTGTAGGTTGGTTGCTAGCAACATTGTCTAAGAAATTGTTTTCTCTATTTCTTCTAACTAGAGAAGACAATAGAGAGAAAGCGCCATTTTGATAGGATTTCTCGGGATTTTATCTGACGATTTCTCTTCTGGACCGCCTTAAGAAGTCTCCAGCATTTTTCATTTTAAACGCCATAAATTGTTTATAAGACTATTGGTAAAATTTTAAAATCAAAACTTATTAAGACAAGTTCTATGGGTCTAAGAATTTTTTTTTGTTTTTTTAAATTTATAGAAACGTAATATATTGAAAAGTTTATTCTTAAGATTTATTATTGAATTTTTTGTAATATTTTCATAAAATACTCAGTGCAGGTCCTATATATATTTCTTGTAGCATTTCCATACAAAGCGACATCTACTAGGCTGAGTGAGCTAACCTAATTTCCTTCTTCTCTTTTTCACTTTGCATGGCTTGAAACCGTCCGAACGTTTAAGGCCTTGACAAGGCTGCCTAGAAATGGCTTTCAAATCTGCAAGAAAAAAATAAACATTTTAGGTCTTTTTGTAGTAATTCTCAATTTTGTCTAACACATACGACTGCTCGGAGGACGGCGACAATTTTCACGTTTCGCTTCACAGTTTGTTAGTAAGCGACAAGTTTTCCCGGCGCGTTGACAACGCACCACTTTATCATTTGCACAATTTACGCGCAGGCATTGCTCCTGGGCAGTAGTGCAACGCCCACTGCCAATGGGTCCGCTTATATGGCTGCAACGTTCTAAAGGCGATCGACTTAGCACTGCAGCAAAGATAAATTGAAATATTTTACTTGAAAAGAACTCAACTCATTGTGTACTTAATTTTTCTCACTTACATGGTATTTTTTGGCGCCAACGAAAACAATTCAACTCATTAAGTGTGCACTCCTTAATCTTAAGACATTGTTGCGGATCCATTTGTACAATGCAAACTGACTGGCTCGGCACATTAACTCGGCAAGTGCCGGCACATTGGGCGCTCGCCGAAGCCAGTGATATGAGTAAAATTTCTATAAAGAAAGGGTTTATTTTTTTTTTAATTTTTACTTGTAGCGAAGTATTACTTCGACTTAACTTACCTAAAATTGAAATGAAGTCCTTCATGCCGGTATGGAGTATGTGGGCCTCTTCAATTGCACTGTGGGCAGTATTTATTGAAAAATTTCTTATTTCTTATAAATAATAATGGGTTTGGCGAATGTGCTGGAGTGGACATAAATAAGTACATCTGCTGATTGTTAACATTTTACAATAAAAATACGCGGACTGAAATGTATTTCAATTGTTTTAATTGGCTTCCTCGCCGTAAAGTTGTTTATACATTTTGTTCTTTTGCTAATTTAAACAGCTTTGTCTTGCAGACATGGAATGGTTTTCACTGTTATTGTTTACAACCTTCAAAAATTAAAATAAATAACCATTTTTAAAAAGAAATTTACGTAAATATTTACTCTTCAAGCTAAAAGTCTTGCATCAAAAGTGTCAATACAAAATGGAACAAAGCAAATACATATACTCGCACATAGATACCAGACAATTAAAACAAGTTTTTTAAAGTTCAACGATCCACACAGCTGTGTGTGACGTAGTGGTATTGTTCGACGTCATTTTACACAGCCGTATCAGTTTCGCGGTGATATCAAATTCAGACATCGCGGTGTATAGGTAACTCCTTTGAGTGCTGTCGAAAACGGCTTTGAAGTCGACAATTAGTTGATGAGTGGCGATCCTTTTCTCCGACCATATTCTGCATAAGAGGTCCTTACTAACTCCTCGCCGAGACACTTGAATAGCTCAGTTGGCAGGCCGTCAGCTTCAGCAGCTTTATTGTCATAGTCAGGCGTTGGGATATCGACTCCATACGATCATCGACTGGGTGATCGGGTTCGTCTTCTCCACTGTTTGCAGTGTTACTGCCATTCAGTAGTGTGGAAAAGTGTTCCCTTCATAATTTAAGTACTTTCTGGACATCGGTCACTAGGTTGCCATAGTTGTTCTCACTGGAGTTCGCCCCGGTATGGAAACCTTTCGAAAATCACCCGACTCTCTAGTAAACGGCCAGAATTTCAAGTTCTTCGCCTTTCTTTTCTTATTGTGGGAAATACGTCTCGCTTCCCTCTTCAGCTCCTTAAAACGGTCGCACGTAGCTCCGGTTGCGTCCGATCGCAGCGTGCCCCTGTCGTCGATATAGTTATTCTTTTTCTGCAGCTTCGTTACATTTTTCAGCGTAGCAATTGTTCCTTCGGGTTCGCTGAAATCGGACTTATTCTATTCTTCAGCGGCGGTAGGTAATGTGTGGGTAATGTGGACTACGGCCAAAGATGTTCGGCACATTGCAAAAAACAACTGCATACGCTTGGTAAGCTATATTTATAAAACCTTGCGGAGGTACCATAAATCAACATTAGAGCACAATTAAAGTGTATAGCTTAAATTAAATGGTTTGATACCGCGCGAGTGTCGCAACATTGTTGGGAAGCGAAATTTGCATATGGCCACACAATGGGTCTCCCTTTGGCTCTAGTGTAGGGGGAATTACTCTCTCTAGCCATTGCAACGTAATCTAACCTGAAACCCTCCGTAAGTCGCCTACCTTTCTGGAAGAAGTGGTGGACTTTTTCCTGTCAGCTAGCATTTCAAACTCTCGACGCTCGCGGAACTTCAGCCAATATCTTTTTATTAAGGAAAATACGTTTGGTTCGTATTGTGCTCGATCGCAACGTGCCTAGTAGGCAGCAACTTTTTCTCTGCAGCGGCATGGAATCGCTTCTTCGGCCTTCGGTATAATTGGACTACTTCTTAGGCAGCGGTACTTAGGAAGCGGGAAATGTGTTTCCACTGCTCGAATATGTCGCCTTGTTGAAGAGTGATTTCTGACAGCAGGTGTTAAAGTCCTGCGGCGACATTGGTTATCTGTTTTGACTGCAGCTTTACGACGTTTTTCCTTACATTGTTAAATATTTTTGCTACGCAGTCGCGGGTGCGTATATTGGTTGTTACACATCTTGATGGATCTTTTTACATTTGAACCTAGTACCGCATACTACCACTCTTCGGACCCGGCGGAGTCAGTCACCCTCAGTCAGTTACCGGATGTTTCGTCGTGGAAGCTGAATTTTCCTGCGGTGGTTCCTTACCCAAAATGGCATTGAAGTCGCCAAACACAATTTTTACATACATATTGTTATTCTTCATTACCCAAACTTTTAAAATAATTAATCATATCTCTACTGGAATGTTCTTCAACATTGTTTGAAGACACTGATTTGTGGATCGTAAACGTATCTGGCAATAGTTTGGATTTAATATTCGGCTATCCGAGACCCACTATAGTCATCCAGCACAACCTGTCTCCAGTCTAACAGCATATATTCTTATCAGAAGTGAATCTGCCTTAAAAACTGCGACTACCGAAGCCATCGTGGATACTTTTTTCTTTTCGCTACGTATCCTCTTAGACCTAGCAGACCACCCAGGAATACTCCCTTTTAGATTGGAGGAAATGCTGCCTGCTGGAAATGTATAATGCCTGACTAAGTGTGCAAATATTGCCCGACTGCTGGAAAGTGGCAAACATATCATCATACAAGCCTTTGTGCATGTTGGATAAAGCGGGTAAACCCGTGAAAAAACTCTTGAGAAGGCGCCTTTTCTCGGCACTCAAAGATGCCGGAAACCTGTCAAACAGCGAGTTTGGATTCCGAACAGGGAGGTCAACAATTCACGCTTTACAGGAGGCAATAGAAGCGGCCAAGAGCACGGAGCGCGAAAATCATTTCTCTCGCCCCATATATCTACTGGTCATATTAGACGTCAACAACGGTCTAATTCACGGTTAGATGGAGTGATGTTATGAACGCAATGGAACATGGCTTTAAGGTACCGGAGTACCTTCATCAGATTCTCGAGGACTATCTCAGTAACCGTTCGATCAAATACAAAACAGCAGACGGCACGAGAGTTAAACAACTTTCAGCAGGAGCAGCTCAAGGACTTACGTTGGGACCTGACATATGGAACAGCACATAAGTATGACGGCATACTACGAATGGAAATGCCAGAAGGGTCCTCTTTAATGGGATACGCCGAGGCGTTTCGGCGATTATCATTGCGCGAACTGTGGAGACAGCGGAGCGGTCTTAACCAGTTGATGCGCCGAGTCAGCTTTTGGATGAACAACCACGGGCTCCAGTTGACCTTAGCTAAGGCATAGACAATGCTTATCACAAAAAAAAAAAACGCATCCCCTAATCAATGAAATGCGGGTTGGAGGCACAACGGTCTGAAGCAGAGCGGCCGTAAAATACCTGGGTGTCAGCCTTAATTGCAAGCTCGCTTTTTTGCATGAAATACAACGGAAGCTAAGCAGAGTTATGGCCAACCTACGCGGACCTAGCCCAAGCAAGAGGCGGTTGCTCATGCGCTCTATGGCGCAAAAATATGGGCCGAAGCTCTACGGCATGAAAGGTACCGCAAGCATATGGCAGATGTGCAAAAACGGGAAGCACTCCGTATAGTGCTCCTACCGAACAGCTTCGGAGACCGCCGTGCTTGTAATTGCAGGAGCGACAGACAACAGCTTAAGCAAGAGCCAGAAGATAATACATACATATTAAACCACAAAATTAAAAAAAAAATCCAAAAAGTGGAAATAGCATCTTTTGATTAAGTAGACATCACTTTAGCAGACACTTTATCCTGCGAATTAACTAAGGAATATAAATTATTTTTGAAAAAATTCAAATATTTTCGTCCGCAAAATCCTTCCCCTAAGAGTAAAATACCTATTCATGGGTTGGCTTAAAAACTAGAGTAACCGAGTAACCTATCCACAAAAACACTTAATAATGTGAGGTAATTTTAATCAATGGTTTTTATAATAGGTGTTGGATTATATTTAAATGCAACTACATATCAGTTATTACTTATCGCTAACTCGAACCAATTTTCGGCTAAGAGATGTTTTGCCTGCATAATGTGCAGAACATCTTTTAACACATAGCTAAATCATTTACTAAATACCCGGTATGGTAAACGGAATCCTAATAAATGACATTTGTAATTAAAACAAGGTAGGTTGCATATAAAATCACATCATTTTATTGCAAGCAAAACTAGTTTTTATAGTAATTAATAAGTTAAAGATATTTATGGCAAATATTGGTTAATGGAGAATTAAAAAAATTTTTGTACACTAAGTTTTATTTAAAATCGAATTTATAACTAATTCAGTCTCTGCATTTAGCGGCGCGTGTTCCAATTGGAAGCTTTCCACAACGGCTTTGCCTGGTAATAGACCAATCTAAAGAGGGAGGAGAAAACATAAAAGATAAATGTAGAATGTTCTAGTATCGTGAAATATAAAATTGCAACCACTTACTATTACGCGGCCTAGATAGGCAGTTGAGATTACGTAAAGCACACTTATTAGCCACGCGACGACAGAGCCTGTCATTTCGATTGCGTACGCACAATGATGGACCAACAGTGGAACACCTCAGCGGTTGCCTTGGGCATGGACGAGGTTTCGAGAGTCTTGCAGCTCTGGCAACTCTTGTTGGTGTGACAGTTGGAGGAGTAGGTGTCCTAGTTGGAGGCGTGGGTCTCCTAGTTGGCCGCGTAGGTCTCCTAGTGGCGTAGGTCCCTAGTGGGCGTGGGTCTCCTAGTTGGAGGCGTGGGTCCTAGTGGAGGATCTTCTAGTTGGCGGCGTAGGTCTCCTAGTTGGGGGTGTAGGCCCTACACTTGTCTCGCCAGGCTGAGCTTGAGTCATAGCTATAGTGATTAAAAGCACTGCTCCAAAAACTATAATTCAAAGAGTTAGTTGGAAAATCATTAATGTACAACGATTTAAGAACTCACGGAGGACGAAAAATTTCTGGGCCACATGTTTCGATGCCTTGATGATTTCGTGTTCGAGAACGCAGCACAACTGATGGTTTTACACACAGCAGATCGGACTTTTATAGGGAAATCGACATCAGGAAATCAAGTGATCTTCGATAACACTTGGCAAGTCTTTTTAACAATTGTCTAAATTGGTGACAATACATTTAAGTGAAAAGACTGTCCGCGTTTATTCATTGCTTAATTTTTGACAATCTACAAAGGAGTCATAAAAATGGTTAAAGAATCAACTTTTGAACCCTTTAGCATTCGAAATGCATACATTTGTATGTATGGTTGCAACTACATACACTCATACTAGATAATTCTTACATAATTGAAAAATGACATAAATGAATTTATTGTTATTAAATTGGAATTCGATTGTATTTTTGTACAGTTAATCCTTTGAGTGTTTATCACTACGTGAACAAGCAATGATTTGTAGCACACCGTGTAATCAACCAGCTTATTAACTCTAAAGTCCAATTAAACACTCGTTGAATCGAGATAAACGATTAAGGTAGGAATCGTATATATAAATCATTTAGGTTAGCTCTTAGTTCGCAAGTACTTTTAATAAAGATAATTCTAAAAGTTGAGTACTGTCAAGAAAAAGCCAATGCATATAATTAGGTTTATAACACACATAAAGGTAAACAAAACAAATATGCAGGAGTTCTCACTTGTTTATTACTTGGTACTTCTTCAAATTACACTTCAGAAGTTATAGCTTTGTTGTTTTTTGATCGAATTAAAAATTGTATTCGCCGTTTGAAATTATTTTACCTTACTATTGCATTAAAGTAACTGATTAAATTTAATTAGATTTTTAAAACAGATGTTTACCATTTTTAAATATATTTTCGACTTAAACACATTTAAACATATTTTGTTTGACTTGCCTACATTTTGTAATAATTCATTTAAATTATTGTTCAAAGGATTTGAACTCACAAATAACCGATTCTAAATATATTTATTATCGGATTCTCTAAATTTGTTTTGTTTTTTTTTAATTTCGGCTCCCTGTTTCAACTTCATGCGTAGATGGGTTTCATTACATGAATCATTATTAGATTTTATTCATTGTATGCAGACGTGGGATGCCAGGGTAGTTCAAACCATATTTAGTCTTACTATTATGGAAGATAATATATACATCACTTCATTTAACTTTTATTGATCAGGCATTGATTCCTGTTATAACCGCAGGTAATTTTGGGTACTCAAAAATATATCTCTGCTAGAAATCTGGTGGGATTGTAAGGCACATCCATTTGTGTTGTATTATTTTCGAGCTCTAAATTTCTTTACTTTTGGGGTAATGTATTATATTTTTACATTGATCAACTAAAAAAAAAAAAAAAATAAAATAATACAAGTAATTAAAAAATGTAAGCAAATTATTAGTGGTTAATAAAAAACAGAAAAGTCGACCCCAGCACCGGCTGAAGTTGTTGTGGAGTTATGTCATTCCATTAAAGTAATATAAAAATATGAACCATATCGCACCATAAATACGGGTTTTTCTTCAAATCGATACCTGCGCCACCTAGCGGATTCCTCTTTCATATTGCATTGTCATCGGGTTATGAGCTAAGTTTGAAGTTTCAAGGCTCTAGCTCATCGGGAAACTTGTTAAAAGTTGGTTGCATTGCAGGTGAAACTTAATAAAAGATTGTAATAAAAACTCTAAAAAACTCCTTAAAATTTCACATTTATCTAAATTTAAACGATTGTATGCCCAAAACTATACTACATACGTATAAATATTTACGTTTAAATTGAACTTTTGCTTTTAAAAATTATAAAAAACAAATAAATGTTTGGTTACATCATTAATTTCTGCGTGACAGTACATCACTTCTTTTTAAGAATATATTGCAGGAAACAAAATATTTGACTAAAAGCGTCACGCTCTTCTGTTGAATAAAGAATATTGTATAATAAATAATATAA